AAGACTGAAAAATAAAATTGACAAAGATTATTGTTTAAGGTTGACGGACACGCATGTCTTAATTAGTTTTTTTTGTTCTTTTTAACGAATTGATCAAACCCAAACTCAAACAAAAACATTGTTTTCAGTCGTTATAAGTCTACCGATTGAACAGAATTTTATTATAAACAATTGTCTTGTAAATGGAATTTTTAAAGCATTCTGAATGTAAAAATAAAGAAAAAAGTGTGCAAGACAATAAGAAACACTACCTGCCAAAAAAAGTGAAGTTTTGTTGAAATCGGTTGAAAAATATAGGAAATCCGATCGAATATATAAACAAACACACACACACACACACACACACACACACACACACACACACACAACACACAACCTGTGTTTTATAATAAGTATAACTCGATATCAGTTGTCCCCCTTTCATTCTCGACAGCGAAGCCTCTTAATCGTGTTTTCAAATTGATTTCGTGCAAAAACAATTGTGTTTTTCCAATTTTGGGCGCTGTCAGAACCCCGGCAAGGTAATTTTACGTAGTCCTGTGAAGTTTTGTTGAAATCGGTTGAAAAATGTAGGAAATCCGATCGAATATATAAACGAAACACACACACACACACACACACACACACACACAACCTGGGTTTTATAATAAGTATGATATATACTTTAGTATATATTAAAATTGAAACAGCTAAATATCTTCTTTGTGTTGTAGTAATTATTGGTTCGGACTTTGTTTGCGTCTGCCTGCCATTGAAAATTGCTTGGCAATCTCGTGTGGCACGCATGCCATTTGTTGCTGACCCCTGCTCTAGACAGTTACTTATCAAGGTTATTGCTTAGTTACAGGATTATAAGCAGAGGTCAGTTACGAAATCTGACCTCAACCGTCAATTTTATAATACTCAGCGAAAACAATAAAAATTTCTTACGAGATGATTTAGAGCTTCAACTGAAGTTTTAACATTTATAATTAATACCCGTATTTAAGTAGACGACCCGTTTTTTTAAATAGTGTATATCAAGGTTCGGTAACCTTTTGCTAAATATATGCCAACTTAGGGTTTTAAAATCATTCAGTGTGCCATCAGAATACGTATTTTTATACTTTTTATCCCTTTTATGAGTCTGGTAAATGTGGAAATCAATCTGCTACCAAATTTTTTTCACAGAGGACCAGATAACTGAGAGAATGACGATCGCGGACCAGATAATCATTTTGTTCAATACAATACACCAAATGCACGAAAAATAAAGACAACAAACCTACTTATTTACTAAAATGTTATCCAAGATGGCGACAATAGCAATAAAATAGTCATATCCCACCAAGTTCGCACATATCCGAATCTCACAAACTAAGCACCACAAAAAGTTAGTGAGATTTTAAAACTGGCGTTTACCTTTTAAGATATAATTAATATTTGTTTTGTTATTGCTGCATCCAACCAAGAGAAATGCTTTCAAATGTTCACCTCGTTACATGTGCTGAATTTACATACTTTAGATTTTATTATAAGTTCAGGCAAAATAATAGTCCTTTTTATATACAGCAATCTTCAAAATGGTTTAAAAACGGCAATGCAAGTTAAAACATAATTGCTGCAGTAGGTTCGTAATCACTTTTTTTTAGAAACTTCATGGCAGGCATTTACACAAAATGCGATCGGATATCAAAGGTTGTAAATGTGGAAAAAAGTTTCATAAAGCAAGGTTCGACAAACTTTGTTATCTTTGTGCCAACACAGGGTTTTAAAATCATTCAGGGTACCAACAGCATACGTATTTTTTAGGTCAATATACCTGTTCTACAATATATTTTATATAGTGATATATAGTGATATATAGTATATATACTTTAGTATATATTAAATAGAAGCGGCTAAATACCTTCTTTGCGTTGTAGTAGTTATTAGTTCGGACTTCGTAATCTCATTTGCGGCTGCGTGCCGTGTGTGGCACACGCCGTGTGTGGCACGCGTGCCGTAGGTTGCCGACCCCTGGCCTCGAATATGCGCTAACTCTTTCCCCATATCTAATTCTCCAGTGTTCTTTCTTATCCATTTTTTTTCCACTTCGTTGCACATGCGCAGCTATCTTTTTCCTTCTCAACATGATCAGACATTTCTGATTTCCTGGTAAGGAGGACGTCCACTCAGACCACTTCTTACCTAGAAATGTTTCACTGGGGAAAAGGCCTCCGAGAGGATGCTTCCCTGATCACTTCAATCTTAACTTCAAGTCTCAGTTCAACCGTTATCTATCTTATATAACCTCATTATATGCACCTCTCGCTCACCCATAACAGCCACATTTAGTAAATCTCTACCTTGAGTGGCTCTTGGTCCTTTGGTGAACAATAGTAAAAAGTCTTGACATAATTGAAGTTCTAATTACTCGGTCACACACCCACAATTTATTAATGAGACATTGTTATACCTGAACGTACCTATTCTATTATTAATAGACTCTCCCACACATAAGTAATAGTAGTAGTAGCGGTCGCCAGTTGAGCTCAGTGGAGTTGAGTGAGTCAGTCGATGTCGCACATTGAAGTATCAACCATCACAACTAGATTGCTGCGTCATTAACCTTTATTTCAAGCTCCTAACGTTTTGTACGTCGGACCCTTTTTGGACCGACTTAGCGAAATACAAGCCTCCACTGTAAAAAATACTTTACAACAGACATACATTTTTAAGTATGTGTATTATGAGAAAGAAACAAAATTTCACAACTCTATGGTGTGTATTTAAATAGCACTTTAAAAAAAGAAGATCAGTGTAGTATCTGTGCAGTGCATAGGATTAACCAACTGAAGTGACAAAAAATTAAAAACAACTACCTAAAAAATCTGTACTTCTACTCATTGCCTGACTATGCACCCTACAAATACTGAATTTGTTTTGTATAATACGTATACTGTATAATACGTGTTCGTTAGTCCATTAGATGGGTATTCGCTTGCTTAATTCATTCTACTGACGGTACTTAACGTTTCATGTCCTGTGTTTCCGATAAACATCACCAAGAATATCTACAACACTATATCCACACTGGTGACCTCCACTTATCCATAAAACAATTGTATTTTCATTTCTTAAGTAACACCTTCCTTCCTTCCTTCCTTCCTTCCTTCCTTCCTTCCTCCCTCCCTCCCTCTCTCCCTTCCTTCCTTCCTTCCTTCCCTCCTTCCTTCCTTCCTTACTCCCTCCCTCTCCCTTCCTTCCTCCTTCCTCCCTCCCTTCCCTCTCTCTCTCCCTTCCTTCCTTCCTTCCTTCCTTCCTTCCTTCCTCCTCTTCCTCCCTTCCTCCCTCCCTTCCTTCCTTCCTTACTCCCTCCCTCCCTTCCTTCCTTCCTTCCTTCCTCCTCCCTCCTTCCTTCCTTCCTTCCTTCCTTCCTTCCTTCCTTCCTCCTCCCTTCCTTCCTTACCCTCCTCTCCTTCCTTCCTTCCTTCCTCCCTCCCTTCCCTTCCTTCCTTCCTTCCTTCCTCCCTCCCTTCCTCCCTTCCTTCCTCCCTCCTTCCTTCCTCCCTCCTCCTCCCCTTCCTTCCTTCCTTCCTTCCTTCCCTCCCTCTTCCTTCCTCCCTTCCTTCCTTCCTTCCTCCCTCCTCCCTCCTTCCTTCCTTCCTTCCTCCCTCCTCCTCTCCTTCCTTCCTTCCTCCTTCCTCCCTCCCTCCTCCCTTCCTTCCTTCCTCCCTTCCTTCCTTCCTTCCTCCTCCTTTCCTTCCTTCCTTCCTTCCTTCTTCCTCCCTCCCCCTCCCTCTCCCTTCCTTCCTTCCTTCCTTCCTTCCTTCCTTCCTTCCTTCCTTCCCTTTTAAACTCGCCATCTTTTATGGTGATTTTCTAAGCGTAGATTAGATGTAGTACAAGGCCGAAAGTATGGGGCATCCAGTGAGGATCGAACTCACGACTCAGTTGTAATTGTTCTAGCTAATTGTTCTAATTGTTTGCTGACCATTGCATCATGTCGAGGTGTCCAAGCAGTATCATTTATGGCAGACACTTTAAGAATAATATTACGCTTTCGTTAGCCCATTAGCTGGGTATTTTTCGTTTGCTTAATTCATCCTACTTACGGTAATTAACGGTGTCAAATATTGCCGCGCAAATACACTAGCCCGCCAACAGCTGAGTTGGCCATTTTTGTTTATCGTCACTGATAACAACGCATTCAATGTGTGCTCTGAGATTCTCACTATACAGATTTTTAATTATTACATTCTAAATAGTTACTATAAAGAATGGTACTACTTCTAGGTCTGTGACGAATTTGCCATGATTAATCAGGTTCTCAGGCTGAGATATGCTATTCAGTGGGTGGAATTGGGGATAGTGTGGAGGGCTATGAAATACAACAAAAAAAAACTTTTTTCTCTGATTTCTTCCTTCAAATTTTTTTTTGTGGGGGTGCGTCTAATATATCGGTGCGTCTTATAAGCAACAAAATACGGTATTGTTGAACTACCGTTTCTTTTCCTTCCCTTAATCCTTATTCAAAGTGACTGGCGCTCTGGATAAAAATAAAGGGTTCAGTTCGGAATTCCCTGTAGGTTACCTGGTTCGTCACACACCTGATTAAGGCCGGAGGGAACAACGGTTGAAACGTTGTGATGACAACAACAAAGATGAAAACAATAGGCTTAATGTTAATGTTACGAATAAGAAACTGGCACGTGGACATTTGTCTGTGTCGACGTCATTTATTAAATGTTACACCTGGCGAACACCTTCATACATCATCATGTCGACATCTATCAAATGCCCCTTTTATAGTTACTCCCACCTTGGGAGTTTCCATCATAAACGTGGGGATTTTGCATCGATTTTCTTTTCAACATTCACAGGGAAACAAACAAGTTCAGAAAAAAAAAAAAAAAAAACCCTTGAAGTGTTATGAATCATTTCAATCGCAACCCAGTACGTTAGAAGTTCAAGAACAACAATACAGTTATTTGCAGAATTGAAGAAAAGTCAAACATTTAAACATACTTCATCGATCAATGATTCATTGCTTTCAACAAAGTCAACAGATCGAAAGAAAGAAGGCTCTATGTCTATCCTAGTGTGGAAAATATACATTAGCATGTCTTTAGAAAAAAAATTAAAGAAGACAGAGAAAATCAGGTAAAGAAAGAAATATTAGTCCTACTTGAAAAATATCATTTATTTTTCTGAATTATTTCTACGTTTCTCACAAAGCTCAGATATTAAAAACGAAACCAAAATTATTCGTACAAAGATTATATGAAAATTAAGTAGATGAAATAGTGGCAATTTTTATCCACTAGTTTAAACCCGTCAAAATTTCAAGGTTGAATTTTCTGATAATTTTAATTCTTCAGTTAATTATTGAATAAACTCACGGCAAGTTCTACGACAATAAAATATCCGTCGAAATTACTCCTATCGCATCATAGTATCTTTTCTCATTAGCATAATCTTCGTCTCTCTCTCTCCCCACTTCTATCTTCCCTTTCTTTATTCCATTTTTTATTGCCTTACTTTCTTTTAATTTTTTTAATTCGTTTCGGGTGCTTTCTGAATAATAATCCCTTGAGGTAAAGCAAACAGCCACGAACGAAACACTATTGTTACTTAACTCCACGCTGTCTATAGGTATAAACGCTCTATATACCATTTAGAGCACTCGGTTCCCCACCCCAATATATATATATATATATATATATATATATATATATATATATATATATATATATGAATTGAGTTCTCCGAGCTGCTGGCGTATTTCGTATAGAGAAAAAACGTTAAAATTCACTTCCCTTTGGTGCGACGATGGCCTAGAGGTAAGATATTTGACTGATGTCAAATCAATCGAGTTTGATCCAGTCTTTAAACAATCAGACGTCTAGCCACACTGAGGAGCTGTGATACAACGAAACAGTCTGTCTGATGTCTATATATATATATATATATATATATATATATATATATATATATATATATATTAAAGAAAAACAGACCACTTTTAAGGTTCCATTATAATAATTTATTTCACCAGAGCCCTTTTAAAGGACTCCGATCATCAGATAGCATTTAAAAATGAGACGAAAAAAATGAAATGAAAATTGATGAGTTGTGCAAGTTTTTGTAATTTAACAGAGAGTGTAATAGGAGTAGTTAGGAGAGACATGGTAGAGTTTAGGGAGGTTTAATTTAATATCTCTCTCAATCATGCTTAGTATTGGGGGAGGTGGAGTGACCAGACCTTGACCTATTTAAACGGTGAGCTTAACGGAAGTGATATATTGAAATGGGAGGGGAAAAGAGAGAAAATAAAAAGGAAAAAGAAAGAAGAGGGAGAGGGAAGTAAATATATGTATATATATATTAAGAAATGGACAAAGTCCGACAATTTATTTATTAAAGACATTTATATGTTTAACGTTCTTTTTTAGAGATACAAGTATTTAAGTAAATGCTCTGTTTATAATAAACAGTATTAAATAACATTTACCGGCCTGAATGTCCGAGAAATTTTCAAAGAATATATTCGTCCTTTGACAGGATTCGAACCTGCATCCTATACGGAACCGTCATTTAAGCTGACGTGCCTTAACCTCTAGGCCACAAAGAAGCGTTCGGTAGGCAAGGTCGAATTCATACACACACATAAAAATTTGTAATGGCATTAGCATTATATATATATATATATATATATATATATATATATATATATATATATATATATATATATATATATATATATATATATATATATATATATATATATATATATATATATAAGGTATGTCTTTTGTTGTTCTTCGCAATCAAAGTTTTCTCTGCAATCTGATTGTGAAATGCTAAGCATATTTTCTCAGTGATATGCGAGACTGGTTGACAGATGCACTACTGAATAGTGCTAAAATATTTGTTAAAAAATAGCATTGTTTGTCAAAGCCCTAATGGTGTATTTTCGAATAATTTTTTTAAGTAGAATGGCAAGCACAAATTTCCTAGTTAAAATATCCTTAGAAATTCCCCTATGGCATCGTTAAATATTTGAGCTTAGCAACTCGAGTTGTGTGAATTTCTTAGATGAAAGCGTGGCAATTAATTACTATTAATTTTTTTACTGGTATTTCCATCAAGTGACGCTTTTTAGTGTTTCGTCAGGTTTAACAACATGGACAGTGACGAAACATCAAGAAACATCACTTGATGGATTATACACAAGGATGTTACGAGTTGTATATCAGCTGGAAGAAACACCCAACAAGGAAACGCCTGTATGGACACCTTTCTGCTATCTCAGTTTCGCCAAGATAGGGAAGACTTCGGCTAGCTGCTCACTCCTGGAGAAGTACATCAGAATTTGTGAGTGACATCCTCCTATGGAACCCATTGCACGGCAAATGATCAGTTGGAAGACATCATCACACCTACATCAACCAACTTGTAGATGACCCTGGATGCCATCTGGAGGATCTGCCGACAGCGATGTCTGACAGAGATTGGTTGGAAGGAACGAGTCAGGAGAATACGTGAAGAATTCTCCACCTGATAAATTGTCGAAATTTCTTGATGTAAGTATAACTATTTAGTATTTATTATTGGTTATTATTGCTTTCATTTTATTTGTCTTGTTTTTACACCAATAATATTGAGTTGTTAGAATTTCTTAGATTAAGTATTGGCAATTAGTATTCATTTTTGTCTAGTATTTCTTTCATTATAATTTCTGTCGATTGTTTTTATAGGCACTCACAGATAATCAATCTAGAACCGTTTCTTAATCTGCTCTATAGAATTAAAGTTAGTAAATCACGTACTTTGCAATAGCAAGAATTTCCAAGAGATCCGTTTTTTTAAATTTAAAAACGGGGAAACAATTTCAAATTAAAAAGTGATTTCGCTCGCCTGTTCAAAAAATGTCTGATAAACTGGAAAAAGGTTTTTGTGTGACGCGTTTACTCTTTTAGGAACTCATCGGACTTTCTTTTTTTTATATAGTAAGGTTCACCCTGTACAAAGCCCAATGGCCACTCGAGGTAGAGGATTGCATTAAGAGGTACAGTTTATGCGGATAAGACATAAAGATAATCAAGGAAACATCTTCTTGGGACATCTGTCTATATTCCTGATAATGAAGTGTTGTAATTATTTACATGATTTACATTGTTAGGACTGTTGTCCACATCTTTATTCCTATGTTCACGACGTTTCGGTCGTTGTACGCTCCGGCCTTCTTCAGGATCTGTCTATATTTTTTAAGATGAGGTACTGTAATTATTTACGTTATTTACATTGTTCGGACTGTTGTCCTCATTTTATTGCCATATTCACGACATTTCGGAGATCACTGCCCCTGTACGATGGGGTTGGAATAATTGAGAACATCATTGGAAAATACGAAAACTTAAGGAATCAGCACATATGCTAGGCCACAAAAATCTCCTAAGCTGGCCAAGCATAGAAATGAATACAATATGGGAACCAGTAATATGGAATATTAGAGAAAAGCAATAATAACAACAAAACTGCAATGTGAGCGCTGGTAAAAAAATAATAACTGAGATATAAAATTTATAATTCTCAGAAATTTATGTATGATGATCTTAAGGACACATGGCTCAGTGGCTAAAAGCGTTGGTTTGAACTAGTAACTTAACCTTAAATAGTTGTGGATTCAAGATCTGGCTACCGTTTTTGGTGAACAAAAAATTGCATAGTTGAGTTAATGGGAGATAACTGAGACATCGTGTGGGCGAAGTAAAGGGTTCAATTCAAAATTCTAATCCCCTGAAGAAAGCCAGGGAGTAGAAAGGCCGAAACGTCGTAGCTATAAAGATGAGTACAACAATCCTAACAATGTAAATAATCCTTTTGCTCAGGGCAGTTGTTCGAGAGAAGGACCTGGAACTTAATTCTGTCCGACGGAACCCTGAGAGAATTTGAGTGGTTTGCTACCGTATGAGTGGTATGGCGGTTCCTCACCCTGAAGGTTAGAAATATTGGCATCAAGGATTTTTTTTTAAGCGTTTCACCCCAAGCAAGGCGAGAAGCCACTAAGACGCAAGGGGTTACAGAAAATTTGGAGCAAGATCAGATAGGAGTGATAGAAGAAAGGATGAGAAGAAGGGTAGTGAATAGATCAAGGCAACTGGAGATACAGAGGCCAGTGAGAGAGAGAGAGAGAGAGAGAGAGAGAGAGAGTACCAGGAACCCCTTCCTAAACAAGAAACAAGGCGTAAGCCTCTATTGCAGCAGATAGATCAGAGAGGGGGTAGCCTCATCCCGCCTGTGGCAGAAAGATTAGAGAGTTGAAAATTTAGTATTCTTTTTATTGTATCATTTTATGTGTCATTTTTTATCGCATGTATCCGATATAAAGAATAAACTATGAAGGAATGACAGTCCGTGAGATACGATAAAAGACAATAGAAATAACTTGAAGGAATTGTTAGGATGATCGAATGGTAATTACCCTATTTGCTGGCCAATTGGACGCTGATTTTATCCCCGCCGAAATGCACCAAAACATTACTCTGCGACTAATACAACACCATGCATGGGAAAGACATGAAGGACACGAAAAAAATGGCATTTAACAGGAACAAGTGTACGCACTGAAGTTAGCCCTGAAATTAGGACAACTGAAAATAAACAAAAATAAAAATATCCCTGAAAAATTCACCAAATAAAAAGAAATTATGAATGTTATGGAACTGCACAATATTTTACTATTTTGTAAAAATACCAGATTTTACAGAAATATTGTTTTACCTGGCATATTACTGTTTATTTTGTGCATGCTTTGTTTTTCTGAATGAATGGTTTAAGACTTCATTTAGCAACAAGGACTATACTTCTGTATTTTACCTATTACCATAGGTTCCAGTGTAACACCAATCAGCTAAGTGACAAAGTTTATATTTTTGATAATTTTATATTTATATATATATATATAGAATTGCTAAACATATCACAAAGTTTATATCTGTATTAATTATATACATACATACATACATACATATATATATATATATATATATATATATATATATATATATATATATATATATATATGTGTGTGTGAAAAGTGTGCGTATATAAATATAAATAAATATATATATATATAATTATTCATATATTATATGCGTGATACTTATTAGAAAGCGCTCAATATCAGAGATAGAGCTAACAATGCTAAAATGAGGATTGAAAAAAAAAGGCACCTAATAATTGATATAGTATTATTTATTTATAATATATGAATTTTTACAGAGACGAATTAATACTTTGTTAATTACTTTTGGATTTTCAGTGTTTTTTCTTAGAAAAATAATTTGTTGTATTTCTTTTTTTAAACTTCTTTTTACTTTGACCGGTTTCGCTTTTGTTACTTATATATATATATATGTTGGGTGTAAAAATTGTCCGAATAGTGTAACAATAAAATTGTCCAAGAGTTAGATTAAGCTCTGAACCATTGTGTCTTAGAAATGATTAAAGATATTTTACTGGAATTCTCCAAGTTTTTTATAACAATATTAGACTCTACTTTGAGCAATAAAACTGTATAATTAAGTTTAACAGAAGTATCGTGATGAAATCGATCATAAACCAAAATTATCATTAATTAATCATAGCTAAGGATCGGAAGCTCATGAAGGATTGAAATAAAGTTCATATATATATATATATATATATATATATATATATATATATATATATATATATATATATTCCAGGTCCTTTTCCAACTTATTCAACATGATCTTCATCCTCTCTAACATTCTATCTTTTGTCCTGGAGTAACAAGTTACCTCACAGTTTTCACGCACGATTTTATTTCAAGTCTTTTTTCACTGCTCTTTGAACTGTCATAGCTGAAACTCCTCTCTCACATGCCAAACGTCTTATGGATTGAGTTGGATCTTTTCTAATTGATCGCTTTTGCTTTAAGTTGAAATGATGATCTCTCTTCCTGTTGTGACCTCCTGATCGAATTTTCCTCTGTACTGTTCCCTCTTTTTTAAATTTATTCGCTGTTCTCTTGAATGAACATTGAAGATGGAAGCCAGAATATGAATGTTGGTACCATTACTGAAGGCCTGAATAATCTTTTTTCCTCTGATCATTGTTCATAAAAAATTTATCCTGCTCTTTTTTAGCAGAATAACTCAAAGGATTTCTCAATGATTCTTCTGACAAATGGTGTCAAGATGGCCAAACGTCTTATTTGAAAACCTGAAAAAAAAAAAAAAAAAACTCAATAAGTTTAGTGGTTTTTAGATATTAAACATTTTGTGGGATGGACAATTATGCTGTTTCACGATTTGGACAATTTTGATGTTACACCCGGTACACACGCACGCACACACGCACGCACACACGCACACATATATATGTATATTGAATGAAGGACAACCCGCTACTCAAGTTTCAGCCACTCCGCCTATAAAACCAGATAACCTTTCTTTTTATAAAAATGATTTCTTTTAGACGAAAGAACAAACGGACATAAACATTTTTAATTAAAGAACAAGAATGAAGAGAAATTAATAAGACTAACTATGCGTTTGTTCATCATATTTATAATCATTTCACCCCATGAACGACAACAAAGCCACTAAGACACGGGGGGTTATTTAGTGTGATAGAATGGGAAAAAGAAGGGGAACATTATTAAGGTTGGGTTTGGTTTATTTTGTTTTACAGCATATCAACCTCAATGGGTTATTTAATGCCGGCAAGATTTTTATTGATGGTAATATTTTTTGCTCTGGTTTGGTTTGGGTCTCCCCTGGTTTGATTTGGTTTTCTTTTACGGCATATCAACACCTCAATGGGTTATTTAATGCCGACAATATTTTTATTGCTGGTAATTTTTTTTTCCAAAAAAGTATTGCTGGTATTAAAACCTATATTTATAGTTTCATAGAGTTTTGACCCCCTTTTGAGGGGTTAACTATTTGCCCATAGCTGAGACCCTGAAAGGTGCTACCACCCCGGGTGAGGGGTGGACTTGGGAACATCAGCAATTAAAATATGGTTCCACGCTCCTCAAAACTTCCTGATCAGATGCCTTGCAGTCGGATGTAGTTTATCGTCTTACCCAGGACGGCATTATTAAAGGGCTGGAACAATAGAATAAGTGCAATCAAGAAGACGGTAGATAACGATTGACATTGCATTTAAGTTTTGGAAGATCAAAATTGACGGGAAAGCATGGAGCCGGTAGAGAGTTCCACAAGCGAGAAGTGCGAGACAACTTAGACATATAACTTACGGTTACAAATCTAGCCAATTCAACTGTAAAATTAAATTCATGATGTCTAAAGTACCAAAGAAAAAAGTTCATTAGAAAAATTACCATGAAAGTATTCATAGAAATGGCACAGCAATCTACGTTACGTTGCCCCTAACAATTGCATTCGTACAAAAAGATCTAGAAGATTGGCCATTCATGATGACTTTCATTTCGTGATTTCATACGAAAGACAGAATCCGTTCAAAAATCCGTCCAGAAATAACATAACGTTTCAACTTGTAAAGAAGACGGGTATGCCAAACTTCTGAGATATCCAAAGCAACAGACTAAAGCTTGATAGAAGAGCAGTTGACCCGAAGAAGCAAGAGCCATATTATTTATCTGACAGAAGGTCCTACAATGTGAGATACTTAACCAATTCAGAGTAAAATATGGCCTCATTGCCAAAACAAAAAAAAAAGAAAAAAATGTAGAAGACTAACAGGCCGATTATTAGAAGGATCAGACGGTTCTCATGAGTTCTTAAAGATTGGAACTACAGAAGAGGATTTCCAAAATGCACCCCCCCCAAAAAAAAGAGATGTTAACACCTTAAATTGAGGGAGAATAGGAGGAATAGAAGACTTCTTATTAAAAATCCGCCAGTTTTATCTATCTATCTATCTATCTATCTATCTATCTATCTATCTATCTATCTATTTCAATCTTCATTATCTATCTATCTATCTATTTCAATCTGTTCACTATCTACCTATATTCATTATCTGTCTATGCATATAATCACGGTCTGTTCTTATTCATATCTATCATCTATCTATCTATCTATCTATCTATCTATCTATCTATCTATGTCCATATCTATCTATCTATCTATCTATCTATCTATCTATCTATCTATCTATGTTCATTAACTATCTATAGTATCACAGTTTGTTCATTATCTATCTATCTATCTATCTATCTATCTATCTATCTATCTATCTCAGCCTGTTCACTATCTACCCATATTCATTATCTGTCTATATTATCACGGTCTGTTCATTATCTATCTATCTATGTTATTCTATCTATCTATGTAAGGCTCTTTATCTATCTATCTATCTATCTATCTATCTATCTATCTATCTATCTATCTATCTATCTATGTCTGTTCACTATCTATCTATCTGTTTGTCTATCTATCTGTCTGTCTGTCTAGGTTCATTAACTGTCTATCTATAGTATCACAGTTTGTTCATTATCTATCTATCTATCTATCTATCTAATTATCTATCTATCTATCTATCTATCTATCTATGTAAGGCTCTTTATCTATCTATCAATCTATCTATCTATCTTGCAAAAAAATCACTCATATAAAAACAACACATACTCATACAAGCGACCGTTCCCTCCGTTTTATTTTTGTTTATCTTTTTCTTTTATCTATTTTCTATTGTTTCTAATCCATATTGGTGAAAAAAAAAGTAAACCAATTTTTATAACTAAATGTGAAATCAAAATAAAAAATCAGAAAAAGGACTTCAATCTCTCCCGGTCTAGCCATATGATTTTATAACTTATGACTGTTCGATTGTCCAGTTTCTCATTTCCAAGATTTAACATCAGATAAATCTTGAATATAAATTCGCTGCTTCGAACAGCAAGTAGTCTACGGTCTCAAACATCTGATAAAGGATGATAAAATGCTTTCTTTTGGCCGTTAATCACAGTTTCCACTTTGCCTTCCACTTCTGCCTCTTCTTCTTCCTTTTTTTTTCCATCCTTTCCTTCGAGTAGAAAACTACTTCTGCTAGAGACACTGTTGAATGTGCTGTGTTCTGGTAACAGCTGTCGAAATAACGCGCCTCGAGATTCGCCGCAAACGGCGAGATTTTTTTCTTGAAAAAACAACAACAAAAAAAAATTTGTTATATCAATCTTTCTTTCTAGGCATTTCCAATTGCTGTTTGCCAAGAACGATTTTCCAGTTGTCTCATTCGAATAGACAATCTATATTTTTATTCAGATTAAATAGGAATTTTCATATTGCATTTAAATAAAAATTCCTCCCACTTCCCAAAAAAAGTACTTTGTAAAAATCATGATTAAGAATTACATTTCATGTTACAAGGGACATTACTCTTTTCTCAACTTGCAACTATATTACTCCATGTTTTTCCAGTTCATATTTGAAGCGATGATAAATATGATAAGCGGCTGACATATTAATTTGTTATTTTTAAAGATCATCAATAAATTTCAGTGAATCACTCGTCATAGCGATTTTCCAATCGTACCTTAGATGTGGCACAAGGCCGAATGTTTCGGGCACCCAGTGAGGATCGAAATCATTACTCAACCGTAATTGTTCTAGCGAGATAAGCTATCTAATCATAATAGCAGGTCGAAGTCCTCGAACGATTTTCTAAACGTAGCTTAGATGTGGCACAAGGCCGAAAGTTTGGGGCACCCAGTGAGGATCGAACTCACTACTCAGTCGTAATTGTTCTAGCGAGACAAGCTTGCTAACCATTACACCGCCTCGAGGTGCCCAATAGTGATTTTCCAAGCGTAGATTAGATGTGGCACAAGGCCGAAAGTAGGGGGCACTCAGTGAGGATCGAACTCACTACTCAGTCGTAATTGTTCTAGCAAGACAAGCTTGCTAACCGCCTCGAGGTGCCCCGGATACTATGCTAGTTATAATATTGATTTTCCAATTGTACCTTAGATGTTGCGCAAGGCCGAATGTATGGGGCACCCAGTGAGGATCGAACTCACGACTCAGTCATAATTGTTCTAGGAAGACAAGCTTGCAAACCATTATATCGCCTCGAGGTGCCCAATGAATCAGTCGTCATATTTGTATTAGATCAAGTCATAAATAATTTCCATTTTAACACTATTTATATTCTTAGGACTGTTGTCCACATCTTTATTATCATATACACGACGTTTCGGCCGTTGTATGCTCCGGCCTTCTTCAGGTGAAATACGTTGGAATTTCGAACGGAACCCTTTATTCCGTCCACCGGGAAAGATTCTTCTAGTTTCACGTTTCACGCCTTTTCTGCATATCTCAAGGACACCTGGCCTAGAGGATAAAAGTGTTGGTTGGAGTAAACCAAAAGTGACTTGACCCAAAAAGTTGTAAGTTCAATATCTGGCCACAGCAGAGGGGAACAAAAAATAAAATAAAATAAAATAAAACAGAGTTCAGGTGCCGTTGTAACCTAGAAATGGTTACTGAATGTGGAATAACCAAAATGGTGGTTGGAAATGAAATGGGAATCTTTATAACATTAACAAAATACAATACTCGCCAGCGGCGTGAAGTAGGTAAACCACGGCTAGTGGTGGACTACTTATAAAGCACTCACTTACGATAGTGTCCAACGTATTTATGAGGATTGGGACATAACCATTAGTATTCCTATGTACGGTATGTAACAGATAGTAAAGGGAATTAACTCAAAGACGAGATATCAAAAAGTTTTAAAAAAAGAATTAACTGAAAGATGAGATATCAAAAAGTTTTAAAAAAAGAATTAACTGAAAGATGAGATATCAAAAAGTTTTTAAAAAAAGAATTAACTGAAAGATGAGATATCAAAAAGGTTTAAAAAAGAATTAACTGAAAGATGAGATATCAAAAAGGTTTTAAAAAAATAAACTGAAAAATGAGATATCAAAAAGGTTTAAAAAAAATTAACTGAAAGATGAGATATCAAAAAGGTTTTAAAAAAATTAACTGAAAGGTGAGATATCAAAAAGGTTTTAAAAAAAAATTAACTAAAAGATGAGATATCAAAAAGTTTTTAAAAAAATTAACTGAAAGGTGAGATATCAAAAAGGTTTTAAAAAAAATTAACTGAAAGATGAGATATCAAAAAGTTTTTAAAAAAATTAACTGAAAGATGAGATGTCAAATAGTTTTAAAAAAAGAATTAGCTGAAAGATGAGATATCAAAAAGGTTTAAAAAAATTAACTGAAAGGTGAGATATGAAAAAGGTTTTAAAAAAATTAACTGAAAGATGAGATATCAAAAAGTTTTAAAAATAGAATTAACTGAAAGATGAGATATCAAAAAGTTTAAAAAAAAAGAATTAACTGAAAGATGAGATATCAAAAAGTTTTAAAAAAAAATTAACTGAAAGGTGAGATATCAAAAAGGTTTTAAGAAAAGAATTAACTGAAAGATGAGATATCAAGAAGTTTAAAAAAAAATTAACTGAAAGATGAGATATCAAAAAGTTTTTAAAAAGAATTAACTGAAAGATGAGATATCAAAAAGGTTTAAAAAAGTATTAACTGAAAGATGAGATATCAAAAAGTTTTTTAAAAAATTAAATGAAAGATGAGATATCAAAAAGTTTTAAAAATAGAATTAACTGAAAGATGAGATATCAAAAAGTTTTTAAAAAAGAATTAACTGAAAAATGAGATATCAAAAAGGTTTTAAAAAAATTAACTGAAAGGTGAGATATCAAAAAGTTTTTAAAAAGAATTAACTGAAAGATGAGATATCAAAAAGGTTAAAAAAAGTATTAACTGAAAGATGAGATATCAAAAAGTTTTTTAAAAAATTAACTGAAAGATGAGATATCAAAAAGTTTTTAAAAAGAATTAACTGAAAGATGAGATATCAAAAAGGTTTTAAAAAAGAAGTAACTGAAAGATGAGGTATCAAAAATGTTTAAAAAAATTAACTGAAAGATGAGATATCAAAAAGGTTTAAAAAAAATTAACTGAAAGATGAGATATCAAAAAGGATTAAAAAAAATTAACTGAAAGATGAGATATCAAAAAGGTTTAAAAAAAATTAACTGAAAGGTGAGATATCAAAAAGGTTATAAAAAAAATTAACTGAAAGATGAGATAACAAAAAGGTTAAAAAAAAGAATTACCTGAAAGATGAGATATCAAAAAGTTTTTTAAAAAAATTAACTGAAAGGTGAGATATCAAAAAGGTTTTATAAAAAATTAACAAAAAATGAGATATCAAAAAGGTTAAAAAAGGAATTATCTGAAAGATGAGATATCAAAAAGTTTTTAAGAAAGAATTAACTGAAAGGTGAGATATCAAAAAGGTTTAAAAAAAAATTAACTAAAAGATGAGATATCAAAAATGTTTTAAAAAAGAATTAACTGAAAGATGAGATATCAAAAAGGTTTTAAAAAAATTAACTGAAAGATGAAATATCAAAAAGGTTTAAAAAAGAATTAACTGAAAGATGAGATATCCAAAAGGTTTTAAAAAAATTAACTGAAAGATGAGATGTCAAATAGTTTTAAAAAAAAGAATTAGCTGAAACATGAGATATCAAAAAGTTTTAAAAAAGAATTAACTGAAAAACTGAGATGTCAAATAGTTTTAAAAAAAGAATTAGCTGAAACATGAGATATCAAAAAGGTTTAAAAAAAGAATTAACTGAAAGATGAGATATGAAAAAGGTTTTAAGAAAAGAATTAACTGAAAGATGAGATATGAAAAAGGTTTAAAAAAGAATTAACTGAAAGATGAGATATCAAAAAGTTTTTAAAAAAATTAACTGAGAGGTGAGATATCAAAAAGGTTGAAAAAAGACTTAGCTGAAAGATGAGATATCAAAAAGTTTTAAAAAAAGAATTAACTGAAAGATGAGATATCAAAAAGGTTTAAAAAAGAATTAACTAAAAGATGAGATATCCAAAAGTTTTTAAAAAAATTAACTGAAAGATGAGATGTCAAATAGTTTTAAAAAATGAATTAGCTGAAACATGTGATTTCAAAAAGTTTTTAAAAAAGAATTAACTGAAAGATGAGGTATCAAAAAGTTAAAAAAAAAAATTAACTGAAAGATGAGATATCAAAAAGGTTTTAAAAAAGAATTAACTGAAAGATGAGATATCAAAAAGATTTAAAAAAAATTAACTGAAAGATGAGATATCAAAAAGGATTTTAAAAAATTAACTGAAAGATGAGATATCAAAAAGTTTTAAAAAGGAATTAACTGAAAGATGAGATATCAAAAAGTTTTAAAAAAAGAATTAACTGAAAGATGAGATATCAAAAGGTTTAAAAAAAGAATTAACTGAAAGATGAGATATCAAAAAGTTTTAAAAAATTAACTGAAAGATGAGATATCAAAAAGGATTAAAAAAAATTAACTGAAAGATGAGATATCAAAAGGTTTTAAAAAAAATTAACTGAAAGATGAGATATCAAAAGGTTTTTAAAAAAAATTAACTGAAAGGTGAGATATCAAAAAAGGTTTTAAAAAATTAACTGAAAGATGAGATATCAAAAGGTTTTAAAAAAATTAACTGAAAGATTAGATATCAAAATGTTTAAAAAGGAATTAAAGATGAGATATCAAAAAGTTTTAAAAAAAGA